TGAATGTGATATAAGGACAGCTGACGTGAGCGTAGATGATTTGGGAGATCGTGTCAAGTTGAAGTTTAGGAAAAGGGTGGCCGACCCCAAGTAGTTGGGATTAAGGCGAGGAAAAAGAAGAAGAATTAAACAATATGAAACATACAAAACAAAGATACACTTAAAGTACAATAAATCAATGCACAAAAGAAAAGACTTATTGTCAAAAACGTATAACAAGAAAAGAGATTACCCACGATGCTCCTGAGGTTACTCTCTCTTTTACAATTTATTCCATCTGATTTTTTCTCTTTATGAATACAAAGTTAATAATACAACCATTTTCAAAAATGTTTTACTTTCAATATTACAAATAATAGACTATATTACAGTAGTAACTCTTATATGCATACCACCACAGTATTGAATGTACTATTTTTCTTTAATAAATGAATCACAACGTTATTAAATGTATTTTTGTTTTGTTATATTAGTTATTTTAAAAATTAATTGTATAAAGAGCAAGGGTTTTTTTTAATAACTAATAATATTTTATTAATTATCAAGAATACAATAATTAAAACTGAAAAATGGTTTCAATAATTTAGTGTTTTGAAATACTCAAACTATAAATGAATTTTTACTATCTATAACTAGGGATGGTATGTTCGTGAGTGAGTAAACTCAAAGAGTTGACTCTTTTAGGTGAACTGAACGAGCTGAATCAGTGTGCCATATTACTGTGACTCAATGACTCAGTGTGGACTACTAAGATTTGAATTTAGTTTAGAACGTCTTATCAATAAATTTTGAATCGTGTGAATTGTGATTCGATTCTTTATCAAGGTTAATCATTCCTTATAGGTTTTAAATTAATCTGTCTATAATAGCACCTATCTATAGATTTAACTTACAGTAGTAGAAGTTGATGGAGCAATATTTGGCTCATCAATCGTCTCTTCTATTACATAAGTCTTTCTATTTAATAAATTTACTAATGGATGCTTAGATTTTATATCTCTAATTAAATTTGAAGTCGAAGAATGATTATTTTTTAATTTTATATCACAAAGTCTATACTTTACATGAATATTATCTGCTTCGAGTTGAAAAAAATCCCAAATAACACTTGATTTACTCATTTTAAAATGAAATAAAAAACCTTTGTAAATTAAATAAAGTGTTTCACAATTTTCGATTTTGTGCACAAGATTTACTATGATCACAGGAAACAGCGTTGACACAATGATTAAAATTTTAAATAAATGAGACTAGATTATACATAATATGTCAGTTTTTAGAACAATATTCATTCAAGAATAGACTTGTAATTGCATGTAAGAAAATTTTGAAATATATGAGAGAAGAGACCTATTTTACTCACTTCATGCATTAAAAATTGATAATACCTACATTGTATTTGTATACCTAATTTAACACATAAATAAATCTATGTGTTGATGTTAATAATAAAAAAATAGTTTTTTTAGATTTTAAATTTACTCTTTATTTCAATAATAATTAACAAATTTAAATATAATTAGTAAAAATATAAAACAATTTAATAGAAAAATATTTTATAAATATCAAATAACCAAATAAATTACTTTTTGTGTAACTATTGTGGATATGTATTGAGAATCTAAAATATTAATAGAAGAAAAAAGGAATAAAAATATTGAATGATTAGAAGTTTTAACTTAAAATTAGCTCAACCATCTTATAGGTAAAAATCAGGGTTTGAGGCCCATCATCTCATAAAATTATTAATTAGTAATAACAAACTACTTTTTCCGTAATGTACATACAATTTGAATCTGATTTTCATTTCTTTCGCGCTTTAATTTCATTCCAATATATATATATAAACAAATAATGAATAAAAAATTATTTATAGCAATATTACATATCATTTTACAATAGCAATTAATAAATAATTATTATTTACAATGAGTAAAATGAATTATCATTCACATTTGTTGTAAACAATAGTTCATCGATATTTCATATTTGATATTAATCTAGCTAAGATAACTATTAAGACGCATTTAGAAGGCATTCTACGAGTATAAGTTACGAGTCGTCATTCGCGTTCCACAAACTTCTACAACTCACGAGTCAGAATCGCACCTTTAAAGATTCGACGATTTGGGATTTGGAGTTGACTCACTGATTCAACTCATTTGAGTGAACTGATTCATATCAGAGAGTCAAAAATCCCATCTCTATCTATAAGTTAACGTCCCGTAAAAATAAGATATCATAGAAAACTGTATATAATCACAATGGTGAAGTTTGTTTATTTAAATATTAAAATCAAATGACATCATTGCAATGTGCTAGTAGCATAGGGTTGCCATACGTCCCGATATACCGACACATGTCACCAGTTCATGACTTTGGTCCCGGTCGTCCCACTAGACCCACCAAAAGTCCCGGTTATGTGTAAATAATATTAGTTCCAATAATTATATTAAATTATATTTTTATAGAAATTATATTTATATTCTAAAACCATGAATTTCACATCGGACACTCATATCTTATATTTACTGATAACAATTGAACTGTGCTTATTATGCTATTATGGTTAGTTAAATATAGAACACATAAAAATACTAATATGATATACCATCGGGCGTCAGTCAACATGCATGCATTAGTTCGAATCTAACCAACGTCGTGTGATATCTGTATTCTCGTTTATCGTGATTTTGTATTTTCGTATGACGTTATTATAACCAGTGACTAGTTTTACAATTTACAAGTAGTCAACAATGCCAAAAAGAAAGTGTCATTTTTCAGATAATTACATCAAAGAATGGTCGTTTATAAAAAGGGGTCGAAATGAATATATTTATTTCCGTGAGTCACAGTGGTAAGACTTCAATTTATGACCACAACAAGTCTAATACTCATAAGTCCAATACATCGATAACGTCCTCATCACGAGATATTTCAACATTTATGGTTAAAGAAAACACTCCAGAAGATATTTTAGTTTGTGCCACAGAATTAACAACAACATGGAGTTCTTACGGACGCTAGCAATCATAATGTGGAAAAATTGTTTCCTCTTATAATTCAATATTTTTCCGAAACAAAAGGTATGCAATTAAAATTAATAAAGCTTAATTCTTTGAAAAATGAAACTTCAGAGACTATAGTGAAATTTTGTATAAACACATTAAATAATTTAAATATTTCTTTACATAAACTAATCGCGTACAGTGCAGATAATACAAATACTAATTTTGGTGGGAGAGATAGACATGGAACAAATAATGTTTATTTTAAACTTCAATCTATATAATCTAAAGATATCGAAGTCATAGGTCGTCCAGCTCATATTTTACATAATACAGCATCTACATCCGCTGACGTACTTTCTGTTGACGTGGAGTCTATAGTAATTAAAATGTATAAATATTTTTCCATATTTACAGTAAGAAATGAACGTCTTAAATCATTTTGTGAGGAGGTTGATGTACATTATGCTAATTTACAGTCTCATTCGAGAACTCGATGGCTGTCTTTGTTGCCAGCAATTGAACGTATTCTACAGTTATGGGAATCACTAAAAAATTTCTTTCTCAAAGAAACAAGACCATCAAAAGCAATCGTNTCTTTCTCGAAGAAACAAGACCATCAAAAGCAATCGTCGATTTTTTTAACAATCCGTTGTCACAAATTTATTTCTTGTTTTTACATTGTCAAACATTTTTATTTGAGAAGCAAATTAAAAAAATAGAAAAATCTGATATTACCGTTATAGAAGTCAAAAAAATTATAAACGATTTAGAACAAACACTTTCAGAACGCGCTGAAGCTAACTTTTTGGGAATCAAAACTAAAATTGAATATAATAAAATAAAAGACGATGCTCAGCTTTTTGTTTCGATAAAATTATTCGACGAAGAAGTCGATAATTATTACAAAACAGCACGGGAGTATTTACAACAATGGAGTAATCCTCTTATAAAATTTGAGGTATTTTCATGGATGGATCTTACTTCTTCGTTGCATTGGCAAGACGTTGAAAAGACAATAACTTATTTAAAAGAAAAGGGAATTGATATCACGGATAGTTGCTTTGAAGAAATATTGNTTATCGCGGATAGTTGCTTTGAAGAAATATTGTATCTTAAAAATTTCATTGACAAACAGTAATTTGATGAAGATTGGAATAAAAAAAACATGCATGACAAATGGTTATATTTCTTTCAAAAAACTGATATATTGGAAAGAAAACGTAATTTAATTTTCATGTGCCAATACTTATATGCCATTCCTGGTCATAACGCTAATGTTGAAAGGATATTTTCACTGATAATGGCCCAGTGGACAAAAGAACGTAACCGTCTTCAAGTAGAAACTGTAGAAAGTATCATTCAATGCAAATTTAATTTAAAAATGACTTGTTCGGAATTTCATATGTATTCTATGGGAAACCCAGAGCTATTGAAACAGGTGACAAAGTCAGAAAAATATAATATTTTAAAATAAATGTATAAATAATAATTCAATGTCATTATTATTTTATTATATTATATATAAATATATATTGACCAGGTACATTACACCGCGTTCTTTTTGTTCTTTTTTTATAATAAAAAAAAAATATTAAAAAAAAAGGTTGTTTAAATTATTTTTGTAAATGTCCCGGTCAGTACTTGAACTTTTATGGCAACCTATAGTAGCATTATACTACTTCTAACAATGTTGTTATCATCTATAAACCACTATTTTTTATCTTTATCTGTGCATGGAAAATACGACATAATTAAATTTATATTATCAAAAATCTAAAACGTAAATAAATAAACTTGTTGATCATTTTAATCAAAGTTGAATTTTTAAAAATTACTTTAGTATAACATATATATTATATTTTAAGTATAAAATAATTGTATTTATTATTTTTTTAATGAATATTAATTTATAGATTCTATTTTAGATAATCTATATGTTTTTAACTATTTATAATAATAAAATTTTATTTGATGAGTGACGTTAAATAATTGAAATCTGAGTTTATTTGTTTTACACATATTTATTATATTTCAATATATGAATGAGAATTTTGAAAAAGATGCAATTTTTTTGTAAAATATAACGTATTAAATGAAACAGTAATGATTACTATTTTTTGTGAGTTATTTTATTGGACACTAAAAAATGATATACTTATTGATACAACAGATTTCAGTAGTTTTAAGTAAGCAATTTATAATTTGATACAAATATTTTTAACTTGTGACCATTGAAAACTTTTTGATTTTCGAATATTGCTAGTATTATGTATTAAATATATTTTGATATTTATTATATTATATCACTATATAATTCTTAAAGTTTCTGAATTTAAATACAATTAAAATATTTAAAAAAATTACATAACCCAAAAGTTTCTTGACCTATAACTTTTTTATTTATTTAAAAAAAATCTTGTTTTCATAATTTTGTAATAGTAATTTATTAATTTCCACTTACTTCATTAGTAACATATGTTATTTTAATGTCATTAATGATGTACATTTTAAATATTTTTATAGATATAACGAAAAAAAAGAAACAGAATTATCAACAAATAAAATTATAAAAAAAAATTATGTTGAAGCTCGTGGGTATAGTTGGTCATTATCTAATAAGAGACCAAAAAAACTTAAAGATTGTCTTAAAAATTTTGAGGTGATTAAAAATTCTATATTTAAACATTTAAAATGTATAACAACAAATCTCTTAATTGTGTTTACAGGCTGATATAAATGATAATCACTTAATAGCTGTAGAATGGCTGAAAAAAGATAAAATTGCTTTTATTTTTAGCAATGGAATTACAACATTTATTACATTTGATACTGTAACTTGCGATATACTTGAAATAGTTACAGACAAATTTCTTCAGTCCAAATTTCAATGTGAAACATTTATTAATAGTATGTATCTATTTTCAGTAATTCACTATTTCATGACATTGAAAAATTTTATTAAGAAATTTAATTTTCAGTTTCTTATTTGAAACAAGTTTTATTGTGCTCAATTTCTGAAAATAAATTGGGCATTGTACATTTTGGTCGTCAATTTGATAGCTCTTTAAACAAATGGTCCCTTCTTGAACCAAAATTGGGATTATGTGATCTAATTGCTAATCGTAAAAATGATCGCAAAATTAGTTTTAATTCATCTGCTACAATGGTAGCAATTTGGAGTAAATCATCTGCTAATGAAGTTTTCCCTTGGAGTCCTGTTATTAAAAATGAAGAAAGAGCTAATATACATATCTACAAAATTATTGGGTAAATTTATATATATAATATTTAAATTGTAATTCAAACAAATTATCACAAAAATGCATGAATTTTAAATAAAAAAAAAGTTTTTAATTATTTTATTTTAATAAACTAATTTTTACCTTGATAAAATCTATTGTCTAATGAATAGTTATCTGTATCAGAAAAAAAAATTGTGTTTTTAATAAAATATTTTTATTTTATATAGAACCCGTTTAGAGCTCTGTTGTTTTTTTCATACAAAACATGATCCATTTGTAGTATCTTTTAGTAAAGTGGTATCTAATATTTTATTTATCTTGGAAAAAAAAGTAATTGATATTATCTATGATAAATAAGCTTTTGTAGAATGATTTTGTAATGATTGTTTACTTTTTCATTTTTAGGACTATAATGATTCTCAAATTATTTTTAGCTCTTATGAAGTAACCAATACCAGATTGCATTTAGTTACTTTACTAACAGTAAGTCCATTTGACTGGTGTACTACTTCTGTTACAAATGCTTGGTTGAATGAAGATGATACACGGTTATGTTTTTCATATGAAGATTCTGTTTTATTCCTTTATGACTTGAAGCTTTCCATCACTTGTTCTGTTAAGACTGCTTTTGTAAGTATTTATTACAAATTAATGAGCTGTTAAATATGAGGAGAAGTTTTTTCATTATTATTATCATTATTTTTTTAATGAATGAAATTCGCATTTTCATGATATACATATTCATTTGGCATCATAAGTGGTGTTCTATTTTTTTCTGTCCCTGGTTGGTCTGTTTTTATTTAAATATATTATAAAATGTTGATGTTAAATAAAAAAGTAATGAACTTATGGATGAGATTCTAGAGTAGATGGTCATGTTGTACCATTTAATATTTTTAAAAGTAATCATGATAATGTTTCTGTAGAAATATTTTAAGGCTGTTAAATATAATTCTAAGAATATGCAATATTTTGTTGGACTGGATTACAGATTAGTAGGAATATTTGATGTCCCAGACAAAGAATTATTCACAACTCTATAGCATTGATCTAATATATTCAAACTTGGTTTATTCCATAAAATATTAACTAAAATTGGTGAAAATATTCATATGCAATTAAAAAATCATCAAGCTTTTATGATATATTTTATTATTTTTATAATTTGTGGTAGGGTTGATAAGATCCAGGTGCATAAAATAGACAGACAAAATTAGATAAAATGTGTCCTGGACAAAAACAAAGTTGTAATAACACGCTTATATTAGTTTCACATGTATGTTTGTTGTAAATTTGTAACTCTCCATGCGCCACATGTTTTTATTCTCGCGTGTTCCGTCATCTATGACCTGGAGACTAGACTGTCGTAACGCATTCACCCCACCCTGCTCACTACACGCCAGAAACACTAATACTGTATAATTTTTTTATGACTATATTCGCCTTTATTATCAATAGTAGTAAGACACAGTTGTAAATTTATAAATACACTAACTGCCAATACAGTAATTATATCTATTGATAGTCATAATTAACAATAAACACTCCGTGACTGTGATAACGATGTCATAAAAAAGTAAAAAATAAATATAGTTTAAAAAACTAAAAAAACACTCTTTTAAAGCACATCGAACTAAAAAGTTAAAAATAAGTTTAAAACAATAATGAACGAAAAATACTAGTATTATTGTGATAAAAGCGTTGGGCGCTCAATATACAAAAAATATGGCACTAAGAACTTAATTTCGTTAATTTAATTTTTTTTTTAATAAGAATTTTTAACTTAAAAGTTAAAAAGAAAAATATTTTTTGTTTTTTCTGGAAAGTTACCAAAAGAGTAGTTATTTGGTTGTTGATGCACTTTTTAATTGTATACTGTTATGTTTATTTATAAATAGTTAAAAATAGTTATTTCTTTAAAAAGTTTCTGTGTTATTTTTTTTAATATCAATTTTAAATATACATTTTATAGCCTGTAGAGTTTTTGGAATGGCATCCAGATGGTAATATAGTTGCCATTTCAGATAAAAATGGCCAGATTCAATTTTTTGATTCTTGTTTATCGCAAATTAGTGTTCAACCTTTGACTGAATCAGTTAAGTTGCCCAATTTTTTAGACCTACAATCTAAAGTTGGCAATAAAAAAGTTATTCAATTAAAGTGGTTAAATATTGAAAATTCCAAGTTCTTTGCTTATCCACCTGATGCAGTACTACAACTTATCTTTGAAAAGTAAACATATTATTTGCATTTTATTAAAAATATTAATTATTATTATTTCTGTTTTTAACAAAACAAATAATGATAAATATAAATAGAATTTTATTAACATTATTAAGTAATTGAGGCAATGACATGGAAAAGTATTAAATCACAAAAACTAAATATTTCAGGAGAAGGTAAATACTATTTGTCCATACCACGTGAACTTATGATAAATATATTTTTGTTTTCCTCTTTATTTCATTATTATAAATAACTATGATTTTATTTTTCACTAGGTTATTAGGATTTGTACTTTAATTTAGTACCTTTTCTAGGTTATGGCCTCAATTTTACTGATAATGTGAATTGTGAATTACTGATAAGATAATTATTATATTTTAGGGGTCCAGTTGTCTCTATTAAACTACTTGGTGTTGGGAAGTTAACAGCAGATCTGATTACATCTATGTATTTGACTGAAAATAATGTAGACTGTGCTCTTAACTTTCTATTAGCACTTGATTGGCATAACAATGGATCTATGTGTTTAACTTGTTTACAAAAAATAACTAATTATTTATTTCGGTTGCCTTTTACACCTGTTAGAGAATGTATGATTAAGTTTAATTTGTATTTTTGATGTATATTGTTATATATTCATATATATTTTTACTTATTATAGTACAATTGCAATCTGCCATTGGGAGTTTTTTTCAGCCAGTTATTCCATTAAGTGAAAATGTAAATAATGAATTTTATGAACCTGTTAAACATATTGCTAGACGATTTTTTCATCATTTAATCAGGTAAGTAATAATTTTAGATGATCATATGAATTGTGTCTTATTTAATTTTGCCTGAGCCAATAATGAAAAAACTTTTAAACATTTCTAACACATTTAATAAAAAAACAATAATAATATTTATTATTATTACCTGTGAGATTTAAAAACGTAGTATTTAATAATTCAAGCAGTTATTTTTACTTAAGTATCTTGAAATATTTAAAAACAAATTTATTTTAGGTTTAAAAGTTATGAAAAAATATTCATGTTTTTTTTTCTTTTTAAATTTCATTAACAGAATAAGAGAATTTGAAACATGAGTTAATATTTACTGAATAATTCAAAATTAATTTTTTTATAATGATTGATTTTTCTGTTGGTTAAAAACTACAATTTACCTTACTATATACACTATTTAAAAATATGAAAATGTAATTATTAAATTTAAAATTTGATAATTTTTATTTACATTAAATTTAATTAATGAATTATTTATTTTTTATAAACTTTTATTTTATTTTTTTAAGGTATGAGTTATACGAAAAAGCATATAGTCTAGCCATAGATTTAAATGACAAAGATTTATTTATGGATTTATATTCAGCCACAAAATTGGGAATAGGTACAAAAGCTATGGCTACAATGGCTTTAGAAAAAGCTAATCAGTTTGTATCATCCGATTCAGAAACTTCTCAATCAAGCCAATCATCTAATTGTAACTGTACTAACTTTCAACCAAACTCATCTGATTTATTAAAACCTCCTCTGCCAACAATTCCAATGGCACTCTCTCAAACCTCCAGTATTCCACCTGTTTTAGACAATCAAATGTACAATAATATTACAACAATTAGTGTACGAGTAAGTAGATATTATTAAAATCCCTCTAGGTATAATATTAGTATAACCCTTCATATGTGTAAACTTTCCATCTTTATGTTCTAATAATCAGTGTAGTATTTAGAGCTGGTTTTAGAGGTGTGGTGTGCCCTGCATTAACAATACTATATAAATATAAAAATTAATGTTTTATTTTTTTTGTTTTTTTTTTTTTTGCTCGTAATTTTAGTAATTGTCATTAAAGTTTTCATGGTAGCTGTTCAGTTGAACATAATTTTTTTCAAAATCTTTCCCTGATTATGAATTTTTTAGTAGTCTCCTGCTAATGTTAAATGTGTTATAGACTTATTGTTTTTTAGATTCGATGCGAAACTGAGAAGGTATTGGTTTTACTATGATGTGTTTTTTTTTTTTTTTTATGTTACCACTTATTCTCAGCTCTCACCGAACGAATTTCTTTAAACGTTACGTCAAAAAATCACAAATTGTATCTAGTCGAAGAAATTACCTTCAAAAATTGGAAAAACTCCCCTCTTTCCCCTAAATGGGGTAAATCTCCAAAAAAATTACAAATTTAAAAATCACTATTTTTTGACTTGATTTCAATTTTTTTTTACTTAAAACTGCCATAACTTTTTCAAAAATGAACAAATCAATATAATTTTTTTTTGTTAGATGCATGATGTCTTTACCTATAATTTTGTATATTTTTTTTATAAATCTGACACTTTACCTGCCTACAGGGGCGGATTCTAAATGATAACTTTTTCACAAAAAATTTACTTTTTCAACTTAACTTTTGAAAGTATTCCGGAAAGTCTGAAACTTTTATGTATATTTTAAATTAAAGCTAATGTAATATACTTTATTATGGTAAAAAAAAATTTCGGACTTTATTTTGTCTTCACGGTGAAAATAGTATAGCATTTGCTAAATATTAGAAATAATATTTATGTTCTTTTTTCATTCAACATACTGTATCTTAATCAGGATATAAATAAGGAAATAGGAAATCATGTAGCTTTTGGAATAATCCAGCAATTTTTTAAAATTAAACACTATTTAAAGATTTTCATTGAAGCGTTTTTTATGATAAATATTTTAATCACTGTCAGATATCATTATACTTGACCTAACTATGCTACATCACCACTGTGCCGCTACCCCCTTTGCTGGGTTTTTTTTAATATTTAGACCTCAATTATCTACAAAAAAGTTTACATATTTTTTGCTTTCATTATACAATATAAATAAAACACATTCTTTTACTTAATTATTTTTCAAACAAAAAATTTTTTTTGTAGCACGTTTCCAACCATGATGAGTATTTGATGCCAACTAATAGTAATTTACCTACTACTACTATAGAGAGTAAATCACAGTTAAAATATTCTCTTGGACAGCAATTACTTTCACAAAATATGAATTTAGGTAAAAATTGTCCTTACCTAACTAATTTATTAATGTGATTAAATGTATTGAACATTACTTTTTATTGTTTAAGGTGTAAAAAATAAGCCAACTCAAACATCTAAAAAACCTCCACCAGATAAAACTATTAAAGTTGTTCACTTTGGCATTGTTTAATATTTGAAGACTTAAAGTGAATAGGGTAATAAATATTTTTTCTGAACGAAAAAGAATTATTAAAAAGGATAACTTCTTTAAGATTTTTAATGTAAACATTTTCCTTTCTAAAGTGTACAATTATATTTTTAATCTTGAGTGTCAAAATAAAGTAATTTTTTGATGCAGAGAGTTACCCATCCCAAAAAAAATAATAATACAATTTTAGATAATTTTGAACCTCTGTATTTTCAGACCTAAGGTATCCATTCAAGTTTTCCACTAAAACATAATGGATTATGAGTACAAAAAAATTGTCATAGGAAACAATAAATTTAAGTATCCCCAGTGGCACAATTCCTAAATGCAGCCTTGATAAAAGAGTATTGTGTTGAATATAAATCAATAATAATATAAAGAATGGGGGGCAGTTCTTTTAGTATCACGAGTCTATATTCTTGGTTTATTAAATAATAAAGGGACATAGAATCAATGCCTCCCAAAATGAGCCATTTACTATTATTTAATAAGTAAATGATTAAAAAAAAGTTCTCTTTTAAAATAATATAGTTTTCACATCTTTAAAAAGATATAGTTATATACCCCTGTTAAAATTAATTTCTTTTGAATACAAGCCTGACCTCACTCAATATTGTCTGAAAATTTTATATTTGAATGATTAAAAATGAGAATGTAGAGCTAAATTATGATATAACTCATGTAAGATATAAACTAATGCTAACAAAATTGATTTAGCCAAAGTATAAAAAATTGGACTAAATTTTCATAATTTAAATTTGATGTTATTATAAAAAAAACTTTTTATTAAAAAGTTACTGTAATAAAATTGTTTGAATTGCAATTCTATAATATAAAATTATTTATATCTTGCCAAAGTAAATTGTGAATGCCATATATATTTATAGATTATTTATATTGTTAACTTAATTTAATTATTTTATATTTTGTATAAACTGTTAATAATTAAATACATTTTTATTTTATTATTGGTAATATTTTTTTTTATACAAATGACAAATTAAAATATTAGCTCGAAGTGTACGAGCTCATTAACGAGTAGTGTAATACTCGCAAACTAAATTTTTCACGAGACATTTAAATATAATTAAATACCAGTGGTGATATTATTGAGGAGTATAGTTGTCTTGGTCCTACCCTCATTAACCGCAATATTTATAAATAAAAGAATCTGAAAATATATCTGGTTGCGCCCTTAAAAATAAATAAAAATCCATGTTATGAGATTTTTTTGTATATCTATTTCAGAAGACATACTATTTCAGTATTGTCATACAACATGGAATAGAACCACTTATTATTAAGTGGATAGAATCCATGCTTAAGGAACGCTCCATTTTGGGACAGCTCAATGAGATCAAATTAATCAAGAGTGTTAAACAGGGAAATCCATAAGGCGTGGTTTTATCCCCCTTGCTATGGTGTCTATTATTGGACTCGGTTATTAGAGAGTTAAACAAATACTGTTATACACAAGCCTATGCAGATGACTTAGTTATAGCAGTGGTGGGTAAATTCTCAGACACTATTATAGACTTAGCACAACAGAGACTAAACACTAGTAAGTGTGGTCTATCTGTTAATCCAAATAAAGCAGAGGTTGTTATGTTCACTAGAATGAGAATAGGACTAGGTAGTCTTGACACTCTTACTCTAAATGGACAAGAAATTAGCTTAAAATCGGAAGTAAAATACTTAGGTATTATCTTAGATAGTAAGCTAAAATGGAAATCATATGTTGAGTCAAGAATCAAAAAAACAATGACCACATTGTGGACTTGCAGTAGAGCCTTGGGAAAGACATGGGGTCTTAAACCAAGAGTTATGTATTGGTTGTACACTTCAGTGATTAATCCTATGATAATGTACGGTGCCCTAGTCTGGTGGTCCAGAACAGCACTCGTTACAGCTAGGAAAGAACATAGTCCCATACAGAGAATGGCTGCTATGGCCATCACTGGAGCATTTTACCAACTGTCGCATTAGAGGCACTAATCGGATTGCCTCCTCTGCATCTAGAGGTTAAAGCTCACGCCAAAGCCACAGCACTAAAATTACACAACTTAGGTATGTGGACTTTGGAGAGTGATACAACAGAACATGGTAAAATACTAAAAGAGATAGACCAGGGCTTTTTGGAATACCCCTTGGACTATATCAACCCGGTTTTTAAGAATAATATTCCCTACAAAGTGGAGATCACTACACGTAGAGTATTGAATATTAACCACCTGACTGAAAAAGGAGGATTTGTGATGTATACAGATGGATCCAAAAAATCAGGAAAGGTAGGTGCTGGAATTTGGGGTTTAAAGTCACGAATAAATGTCATTGGGCACAACACCCTCTGTTTTCCAAGCAGAGGTGATGGCGATACTGGTAGGGGCTCAGAACCTGCTGGTATACAAAAATAGGAAGATAACTATCTTAAGTGATAGTCAAGCGGCTTTGAAAGCACTCTGTAACGATCAGGTNCCTTTGATGGCACTCTAACGATCAGGTGAATTCAAAGGTGGTCCTCGAATGCAGGGAAACTTTAGAATCACTATCGAGGTTCAACAAAGTTACACTAGCGTGGGTACCGGGACACAACGGTGTCACTGGAAATCAGAATGCTGACTTTCTAGCCAGGAAAGGAGCAGAGAATATCTATGTTGGACCAGAACCAGTGATAGGACTCACTGAGCAATCGCTCAAAGCGCTACCCAAGAATTGGTGCAGAGAACAACACAGGAAAATCTGGAAGTACTTGGTAGTACCTAGACAATCTAAAAAGTTTATCAAAACCCCTGGTCTACTGTTGGGTGATCTTAATAGCATGACTAGACATCAAATAAGTACCCTGACTGGTCTACTGACAGGACATGGTCACCTGCTTAAACATCTTAACGCAATGGGGGTATCGGAATCACCATTGTGCAGGAAGTGTGGAGTAAAAGAGGAAGACTTATTTCACATCATGTGCGAATGTGAAGCCTTGTCCACACTAAGATCAAACTACTTGAATAAACCTTTTCCTGAAAAAGAAGATATTAAAAACCTAAAACCCAGAGAAATACTTAATTTCGCCAGAAAAACAGGACTGTTTGGTCATCTTTAGAGGTGACTTTATGGTTGGTAATGTATTAACACTTAGGTGGGTAAACCGAATCAAGATAATTCGGTATGAGGTGCGCACAATCGACCAACAAGTCTGAGTGCATGGGCATTATGTCCACCTCGAAAATAACTAAAACTAAAACTAGTATTGTCATAACTAGATGAGTTTAGCGTTATTTTTATACTTTAATTGGATTATTACATTTTATAAATGACTATTTAATATTTCATTATTGTTGTAGCTACGATGCAAAGCTGTAAACGCATTTTATTATGATGTGTTTATTATTTTTTTATGACTTATCACTTTTTCTTAGCTCTTACCAAACCGATATCTTTCAACGATACGCCAGAAGATCACAAACCATATCTAGTCGAAGACATTACCATCATTAATTGAAAAAATTACACTCGTTCCCTGTAAATGGGGGATATCTCCAAAAAAATTACAAATATAAAAATCGCTAATTTTCGACATTTTTTCAATTTTTTTTACTTAAAATTGCCATAACTTTTTGAAACATGGAAACATTGGATCAATAAAATTTTTTTTTATACATACATGAGGCATTTACCTATCATTATATATATATATATATTTTTAAATCTGACTCTTTACCTGCCCACGGGGGGGGATTCAAAATGACAACTTTTTCAACTTAATTTTTAATAGTGTTCTAGAAATACTGACACTTTTATATATATCTTAAAGTTTATTAAATATTAAAAAAAAAAAAATTGGACCTAGATTATTTTTGTGCTAACAATGGCTACTGTATTCAAATATATATATATATTTTAGACTTATATTGCTATAACTATAAAAAATGTATGAATCAATACAATGTATTTTTCATTAATATTTCATATATACTTCTGGACTAGTGATGAAAATGTACATTATAGTTAAAAAAAAAAAAACCCAGCACAGGGGGGTCACGGCACAGTGGTGCCGTGGCATAGTTGGATCAAGTATAATGATATCTGACAGTGATTAAAATCACTATCAAAAATAAACGCTTCGATGCAAATCTTTAGATAGTGTTTAATTTAAAAAAAATTGGTGTTTTATCCCAAAAGCTACTTGATCTGTTGGTTCCTTATTAATATCTCGATTAAGATAAAGTATGTCGAATGAAAAAGGGTTTATTAAAAAATATTATTTCTCATAAAAAAATTGTGTGGATCCATAAACTTTTCAATAAGTTATAGCATTATAAAGTTAAATATAATATAAATAATAAAATCGTCCAGAGGTCAAATTTTTTTTTTTCAAATTAAAGTACATTACATTAGCTTTAATTTAAGATATATATAAAAGTGTCAGACCTTCCGGAACATTTTCAAAAGTTAAGTTGAAAAAGTTCTACTTTCTATACGCATTTTAAAAGGTTTGCACCCCCCCTGTATAAAGGGAAATGGTCCGATTTTAAAAAAAATTATGTCGAATGAAAGAAGTATATATAAAGTATTTATCTTTAAAGAATAAAGTTGATTCATGCATTTTTTAAAAAGTTATAGCAACATAATGTTAAAAAATGTAAAATATAATATCAAGAATTTTTTCACAAAAATAGCATATTTTTGCATACGGTAGTCATTTTTACCGTGAAGACATGTTGAAAAAGTAAATTTGTTGTGAAAAAGTTGTCATTTTAAATTCCCCCCTGTGGGCAGAAAAAAGGTCAAATTTACAAAAAAAATATACCAAATGATAGGTAAAAACATCAAGCATCTATAAAAAAAAATTATATTCATATGTTCATTTTTGAAAAAGTTACGGCAGTTTTTAGTAAAAAAAATTGAAAAAATTTCGAAAATTAGCGATTTTTAAATTTGTAATTTTTTTGGAGGTTTCCCCCATTTACGGGGAACGAGGGGAGTTTTTCCAATTTTTGAAGGTAATTTCTTCGACTAGATACAATTTGTGATTTTTTGACGTAACGTTTAAAGAAATCCGTTCGGTGAGAGCTGAGAATAAGTGGTAACAATAAAAAAAAAAAAAAAAACACATCATAGTAAAACCAATACCTTCTCAGCTTCGCGTCGAAGCTAAAAAAGGACTATTATTTTTGTAAAAATTATACGCACACAACAAGTCACAGCATGCATCTGAAACATTAGATAAAGGTCTTGAATTTATTAATGTTAATTCTAACAAAATTTTCAAATGCTTAAATATAAACATACATTTTTTGAAAAGCAATATCGAAATGGCAATTTATTGAAAGCTAAAACAAAACTTGAAAACTTACCCGTAATAAATGATATCCCAGAACGAGAAGTTAAACTTATCAAATTTATAATAGACAAATCACTCAAAACGAAACTCTAAACAGTATTATTACAAGTTGTAAACGACTATAGACAAAAAATTCCGGTTTCTAAAAAGAAAACTATAATGTTATAACCATATTACAAATATTTTATAGGTTATGTTACTTATTATAGTAGATAGCTGAGAAGGTATTAAATAACTTCAATATTAGTATAGTATAAGTTTATAACACAGTAGTAAGCAATTTTTAAATTCTTAAGTAACATAATTATGTCATATGAAGGGAAAATGTAGGGTAAGCAAATTAACAATGGTGAAAAAAGGAATATATAAAGGGAAACAAGAAAAGTAAGGGGGGTTGACGTTTTGACTAAGAAACATATAGTAAGAACGTTTAGTACGTAAGATTTTGTATTTTTGAACGGCTTAATTTATATTGTATTACATTTGTTACGTCGCTATTTAGGGGTTGAGCCTAAATGCCCGTTAACAGTATTCTAAGAGACCAACTAGATA